TCTTTATACTACCAAGGCTATAGAGGGTGTATAATTACAATATGAATGACATTTGGTAAAGTAGAAAAAGACAAAAGTTCCAAGCCCCTTTATGAATTATAAGCCCTTAATTTGGTAGAGTTACTTTGGAAAGCATTTTGGATAACGGTGTATAAAGACAATCGTGACGGTGCGAAAAGACTTTCTCTTATAATAAGTCTAAACGGCTAATTTATAAATAATAATTCAATTTAATTCAATTACCTAATATCGGAATTTAAATTAATTAATCGTAATATTTACTATACTACTATATAATTCGTAACATAAATAATTACGAATTATATTAATATATTAATGTAAATATAAGTTTTCAAAAACCTTTTTATTAATATATTCTAATAAATATGGAAAATAATAAATAAAACCGTCCGGGATAAAACTACTTTTGAAAAACAGCGGGACGATAAAATTATAAATACGGTTAAAGATTTAAAAGTAATTATTTGAAAGGGTTTTTACAAATTTAATAAGAAATTAATAAATATTTAAAAGATAATTAAAAATAAATACAGTAAATTATTAAATATTATAAAGAAAATAACGGACGTAATAGATGAAAAGATGTAAAACTCTTTACAATTAGAGTTAGATTAAGAATTCATTTAATAAAGGATAAATAATTTAATAATGGAATTCAAACAATTATCAGTATCTAATCATAATACTAAATAAATACCTTTCTAATCAAATTATATTCGACTCTATTTATAAAATTCTATATTATATAATTACTTATTTTTATTTAACTTTAAAATTAAAACTAAAACGTAAAAGAGGAATTTATTAATGCTTCGTCCTACTTTTACAAATAATAATTAAATCCCCTCCTTATTATATTACAATTTAGCCGATTTATTAATAAATTGGTTCGATATTCGAATTTAATACTAAACTTTATTTATATTTATTCGTATACTATAAAATAATAATCGGGTTTTATATTCCTACCCGTCGGTTAATTTTTGTATATTAATAATAAGTATTTTATATTAAATATTTTTCTTATCTTGTATATATAAATAGAAATTAAATGTTTAATATTTCTATATAGGGAATTATACTAAATTTAAAATCTATGTATTAGAATTTTCTCCGTAAATAAATATTTACTAATAAGCGTTTTACTATTTACTATTTTAATATATAGTATCTTAATACATTTAAATTTATAACATACTTTATAATCTTCTTTTTAAATATAAAAGAAAAAATATATAATTCGAATTAGTAACTTCTTAAAAATATAACTTATATAAATACTAATTATACTATAATACTAAATTTTATAATATAATTGCTAACCGAGTCTATATAAAATTTAAATAATATTATTTTAAAAATTTAAGGCTAATACAAATAATTAAACGAATAAAATTAGATTTATCCTAGTTTTATCCGAAATTAATTTATATTATAAATTTCATTTACTATTTTACCCCTTTTAATAAATACATACAATATAATACAGATGATATAATTACGTACTTATATTTACTAATTTAATAAGAGGAATAATTATTATATTAATTACAAATTCTTTTTTTATTTCTTTCCTTTAATTCTTCTTCGATTATTTAAACATTTATTAATTTACCCCTATTTACCCCCTACTACTCCTCCGAAATCTATCGAAATTAATTAAAAATTTATTAACGATTTATCTTTTATAATAGCGCCTGCTTACTATAAATTTACAATTTTTAACGTATATAAAAAATATTTAAATAGTAAATAGAAACCCGTTAAACCCGAAAATAAAGGTAAATATTAGGTTGTAGTATCCCCTTTAGAGACTGATAAATATATAAATATTAAAACCGATTGCTAATTTATCCCTAATTTACCCCTAATCTATCCTTGCTAATTACTTTATAGGGCGTATATATAATCGCCCCTAGTAAGATTTTTTGCTGCTAAATAAAGTTTAAACCGGATTGTAATAGCGCGGATACTTAATATAATTTCAATATAAATAATATTTAAAAATTAATAATATTAAATTAATAATTAATTTTTAACTTATCTAAATTATATTTACTATTTATAATAATTTTATTAAATATTTAAAGGGTATTTATAATATCCTTAAACAATATTTACCTAACGTTTTAATTGGAAGTATTAAAATTAAGGTTTATATAATTATTATTAATATATAACTTATTCCTAACTAATTTCCAAATAATTTAAAACTAATTACGGATAAATCTAAGATAGTATAAGGATTTTATAGCTTTTATAACCTCCAGTTAGGCTATAACCGTCTTTATCCCTAGTAGGACTTTATGACCGATTATTCTTAAGAAATGTAAAGTAGTAATTATCGACGAAAAATCGGACCTATTAGATTTACTGTCAATTAAGAAAGAGGAGTAATAGGAAGTATAGGAAGAGGAATAATAGGAAATATAAGAGGAGGAATAGTAAGAGGAGTAAGAGGAAGAATAAGAGGAAGAATAATAGGAAATATAGTAGGAAGTATAAGAGGAGGAATAAGAAGAGGAATAAGAGGAAATATAGGAGGAAAAATAGTAAAAAGTATAGGAAGAAGAATAATAAGAAGTATAAAAGAAAAGGAACGAGGAGGAGGCGGATACGGAGGAAAATAATTTTATAGAAGTCCCTTTTTAAAAGAACGGTAATATAAATATTTTAAATCTATTTTTAATAAACTATTAATTTATTCCTAATATATTCTTTAATTATCTTTAGCTAATTTAATTAATATTTAAATTAATACTTAATTAATAGAGGAAATATATAAAAAGTACGATAATATCGCTTTCTCTGCTAAATTTATTTAAACAGTATATAAAAAATTTAAATATATTTTTAATAAATCCTTTACTAATTATCGATTTATTATAAGTCTTCTTCCTTACTGTCCTAAGTAGGGTAGTAAAGGTCGGAGCTACGCTATTTAATACGAATTCTACTACTATCCGAATAAACCAACGGAACTTACTCCTTCCTTATCTACAATTTAAAATACATCCTAAATATATTATAAATATATTATCGGACTTTATATTTTTCTATAGGGGAACTTTAGGCGAGCGAGTAAAGTTATTTCTTTACGGGGGGACTTTTATATATACGACCCGGATGAATTTATAAAGCCTAACTTCTTCGTTTACAATTTAAAATATATTCCAAATATATTATAAATATATTATCGGACTTTATTCGAACTACTATTATTAATTTAATATATTGAACTGACTCCATACGAATACGTATTATAATAATTGTGTCAATCTTTTTCTTTTATAGGTCGGACCAATTTTATATATGAATGTACGGACTATAGGGTTAGGAAGCTTTAGGTATAAGGTCGTATCATCTGACCACTCGACTAGCCCGACGACCGAGAAACTGACTGGATGGTCCGTGACATCCGTGACCGACCGTTCGTTCGACATGCGGAACTGTATTTGGTCGGTACGTCATTTCTCGAATTCGTAAAAAGGGGAACCACGATACTGTACCACACCGCAATCCCGCTCCCGGCATGGGTTCCGTTCTTTTTGAGACCGACCTACTGAGGTGCGGTAGCCATGTGGCATTTGAATCAAATCAATTCTCCGAAATGATACGGATTATTTCCATTTTCGTCAGACCGTACACTTGAGCGTGCGATGGGTCAAAAAGAGAGCTTGAAATAGGGGATGCACATTTGGATCGACCTCTCCCACTTGTTTCATTCTGACCTCCAGCTCAAAGGCTTTAGGCAAGCTCCCCCTGAGGTTTAAGTGATGAGTTCGCTAACCACAGATGCTGTACTCCATCTCCTTATGATGGAGAAAGTGACGTCATGATAGGATTGGAAAGAAGAGTGCCAGACACGTGCTCGACTCGCTGTAGCATATTGCCCAGCAAAAGGTTCACATCTGAGAGTTGTCGCGATGGCAGGCCATTCCTTCTCTATCTGCCTGACACAAATAGGTGGCCCAAGGTCCCAATGAGGGAAACCATCCGGGTTGGATTCCTGGCTCGACCCTCCCACGCATTCTTTTTGCTATTTTTTTACTGTTATGCATCTTGGTGACTTGGAAGCATCGATCGTATCCAGCTCATCTGAATTCTATTTCCTTTTTTCCCAAAAACTTGAACAAGCCAAGATGTTGCCGGGGTCAAGCTATCGCGAGTAGGTAAGTACTGTACGTGTAATGTATATTGTTGGGAAAGAGCAGGCTGATCACATCATCGATTTATGTCGGAGACGATCGCTAGTGGCAGCACGCACATCATTGGAGATCGAATCTGGGCCGAGTTCCCCCCTTGTGAATTACTTAGCATTAAGACTCCTCACGGAGGTTTCAACGGACGGAAAAATGGACCTGCCATCACGGGCAGATAACAACATTTCTACGACATGCCACTTTAGCTGGCAGAGCCCAATCATGATCCTGTGACACCCAGCAGCAGACAATGGAGATCTTGAGGTTTTGCTTCCATGTCTTGATAAGATTCCACGTTTAGGAAGGCGCTCTCGTCATCTGGTGGCTGATTCCTGCCACCTGTTTACTCAATCAGTGTCAACTTAATCTTCGCTTGTAGAGGAAGGCACGATGTTGGTACGAAAGGCCAAGCAGTCGCTGATTTAGCCGGGAAGGAGCATCTAATGCAGCCTCTTCCTTTCCACCTTCCTGTGACCTGATGATGACTCGGAACAAGTGTCGGGAGAAGGAGTCAGAACATTTTCTCGTGACCCCCATTATCATTCATTCCCCAGTCATTTCTGTGCTCACAGTTGCTTTCCATGAAACTTGTGCTTGCTCGGAAGCTCCAGACCATTCCGAATCCCACCATACGTTCTTTTCTTGCAGTACTCTTCGTTCGTTACACTCGACCTCACTTCGACCACTATCCCTGCTGTTGGGCTCAATATTGTCCGATATCCTCCCCGAATCTCAGTGATCGATCACCAATGCTCGAGCTACCCCTAGGTGTCCAACATGGATCATCCACCTCGCACGAGGCCCTTCAACTTTGAGAACTCGGAGGACAATGCACCGGTCGGACCAACAAGCTATCAACATGCGCAACCCAGCAGCGGTGACCAGGTACCATACTCGGGCATAGCGAGCCCCAACTCAGAACACAACGATGCATACCAGAACAAATCACAAACGTCGCAAGATGTCATCCAAGAGACGCCCAGAAGCTTGCCACTTGCTCCCGAGGAAATGGGGCTGATAGAAAGACCAAGGATGAAAAAGACTTTCGAGCTTGACCAAGAATTCGAGTTCGGTCCTGCGCTCCAGATCAATCCAGGACAGTTCACGAAGCAGCTAAAGAATCCTGGCCCACTCTATCAGAGTACTCAATCACCAGTTTTGACTTCCCAGCCAGCTAGTAAAGACAAAAAAACTCGACAATTCCCGTTTCCTCTACAAGAACCATTGCCAGGGCAGCAAATCGAGGAGAGGATCAGCAATGATGTTGTCTCTGCACACAACCGGCCCCCTCCTGGGGCAACAGACCAACCGAGTTCCGTCATTTTTCATGAACACGAAGCGCAGGACACTGAACAACCTCCGGAACGGACGGTTGACACTCGCCCCCCACCAAAAGGGCGCCCCTTTGCAGATGTATCCCCACCGTCCGCCCAAAGAGCTTTAAAGGTCGCAGTGCCCCTGCCACGGCCACCTATCAGTATACCACGTGTGAAGACCAGTCGACATTTTACGCCAGGCCAGGAACCGGATGAGTCCCGCTCACAAACCGACCATCGAGCGTCCGCCGCTGATGCGTCAAGACTCTTACAACAGCACGGAAATCCTGCCGCAACAGTTAACGGAGTACACATCAGCGGTAATGGCGACCAGTTTCTGGTATCTCACGAGAAAGGGATTGCTCTTGATGGGAAGTATCTGTCCGAAGGAAGGGACGGCCAGTCAAAAGATCGGTCTTCACCCACGAGCACTACCATGTCACACAAGGGCAGACAGCCACACCCTGACAGGCCTCACTACCAAGACATTCACATGGGCGACTACACTCTTCCCGGCAACCCTGAGGCCGAGGATGTTGTCAACATGGGGTCTAGAGGGCCACATATTAGATCTTTCGACCGCCCTGACACTCAACAGCCCAAGAGCACCAGCCCATACTTCGAGTCTCTCCGTCAAGGAGAGCCGTCCCACACTAGCCGCCAAAAGCCCCACAAATCTCATGATGTCTCGGACACGAACACTGCTGGCTCAGGCAAACCGCCCAACAGAGGAGCCGAAAAAGGGCATTCTTCCTTGAGGACTCAACATGTATCTCCAATCCGGCGAATTGCAGCTGCGTCGGCCGCGCGGTTGCACAAACACCACGCGTCGAGGGACCCTAAATCTGCATACAAACAGAGTCCTCGGCCACCTTTGGAAGGCTCAAATGTGTCCAGGAGAAGGGCAGCTGTCTCTACAACTGCAAGGTCGGAGATAATCGATATCACGAGTACACCCGGCAGCGAGATAATAAGATCGAGCCCGGCCACCAACAACAAGAGTGTCAAGATTAGCCAAGAATTCACAAAAGATCTGGCTGGTGTTCTCAACCGATTCACTACTCAGCACAACTCCACCAGGCAGGAGCTGAGGGAAAGGTATCACAAGTACATCAAGCAGCTCAAGAAGAAAATCAAGGACCGTGAACATGAGGCCGAGGAATACCTTGCTCGGGTTGAGGAGCAAGCCATCGATATCCGAGAGCTTGAACACTCCAATGGAAAAATGACCAAGAAGATCGAAGAGCTCGAACATTCCAAAGGAAAAATGGCCAAGAAGATCGCAGAGATGGAGGCAGTGCTTGAAGCCACCACAGAGCGAGGCTCAAAGGCGGAAGACAAATATCGCAAAGTCAAAGACCACCTCAATGCGGCGATTGAGGAACAACAAAAGCTATACCTCATGTCCAAGTCGCAGTGGGAGAAGGCCATCAAGGAGGTCCGGGAGACCGAACGCAGCCATGGTGCTGCCTTGGGAGAGATGTTACAGAAGACAGAGGTGATAAGGCAACAAATGCTTGAAAAGGTTCGGCAGACAGTCGGTCAGTGTAGACAGGACACCTCGGAATGTAAGTAAGATCTGTATTGTTCGAGTGACAAATTCTGACGGACTCCCTAGTGTACGGCCAGATCGACACCCTCACACGCCAGATAGAACAAAAAGACGCCGAACTGAGCCACGAAAAGGAAGCTGTAAAAATGCTATCACAGCAGCTTGGAACCCTCAAGATCACCAATGAAGGTCTCGATGCGCTGGGGTCACAGCAAAAGGACATTCTGGGCAAGATGGACGAGCAAAATGCGCAGGCAATTCAGAGACAAGCAAAGACCGAAGATGCATTTGGAACCAGGTGAGTAGTTCAGATAGGACTCTGAATGTACTTGAGCTGACTTCAATAGATTGGATGCAATTGCCGAACAAGTTGGGACTGTCTCCAAAGCAGTGTCAGAGCAACCTCAAGCGCTGTCAATTCTACAGAGCCAGCAACAAGAGATATTGGAGCTGTAAGTATATTCGACGGCCATTCATTGCCTGTATACTGACGTCTTTAGCATCACGTCAAAGCTTGAGGCTGTCATGGAGTCTTCTGGCACTACCGAGAAAACGACAACCCAAATCTCGACGGACATCAAGGCCCATATGGAGAAGATCTTGAGACAGTTAGGCCACGAGAAGGACCGTCTGAGTCAACAGTTGAACGAAAATCTCACGGAAAACGGCAGGCTTGCTGGCTGCATTGCCGAAAAGGAAAAGGCACTCAAGACTTGCCAGAAGGAGCTGAAAGATTTGCAGAAACGCTTTGAGAACCAACAAATCCAGTTCAGTCAACTTCAGGCGCATGCCGTGGAGCTGGAAGTAGCTCACGAGGACAACCAACCACTCAACCAACAACTCCAACTCGCTCAAGCAGAAATCGAGCGGCTGGAAGCAGAAGTCAGCTCTCGAACAGCAGCTATTTCACAACTCGAGAAAACAATCCGATCAAAGGAAGAAACATACGTCTCTGAGGTCAAGCAGTTTGGTTCACAAGTCCAACAACTCAATCAACTGATAATGGACAAAGAGGCAATCATCGAGACGGCAAGCGCCAAATCGGTCGATCTCGTCCGGCGGGAGCTCCTTGCAGAAAAGGAAAAGGAGACTGCTGAACTAAACAAGAAGATCTCCCAGTTACGCAGCGACCGGAACGCCTTGGACGAAGTAGTGGCGCAACTTCGACAAGAGAGGACCAGCAAGGAAGAAGCCGAAAGACAGCAGGCTCGTACAATCGAGTCTCTGAAGGCCAGCCTGGCTATTGCTGAGAACAAATGCTCATCTCTCGCTGAAGAATTGAAGACAAGATCGGATGATCTCGCTGAATCTCGCCATCAGAGATCTACTCGGATCAGCGCTTTGGAGGCAGACCTCGCTGTTTGGCAAAAGAAGGCAGTTGAGCTTGAAGCAAGCTACACTGGGCTGCAAGAGACCGAGAGGCAGCATACCGGTGCGATTGATTCTTTGAAAGTCACTCTTGCTGCTACGGAAAGCAAATGCTCATCACTTTCTGAGGAGTTAAAAGCGAAGTCACTTGAACTCGAAAAGTCTCATCAACGGAGCTCTTCTCGCATCACCGATCTAGAGAAAGAGCTTGCCAGTTGGCAGAAAAAAGTAGCCGAGCTTCAAGCAACATATTCAGAAGTACAGCAAATTGAGAAAACACGCCAGGGCAAATTGCAGGAGTGCTTGACCACCATAGAGCAACTGGCAGTAAAGGAAGGACTCGTTGCTTCAGATGCTGGAAGTTCGAAATTGTTCGATATTGGCATAACGTTGGATGAGGCATGGCCAAAGATTTCCAAGGCTGTCGAACAACTGATGAAGATGACATCAACGAAACATCAGGCCAATCTCGACGAGGTGCGCCAACGGCTCGAAGCACTAAAGGAAAGGGTCAGCCATACAGGATCATCAACAAATGAAGACTCCCAAGCGTCGCTCGTCAATGCATGCAATAATCTTGAAATAAGGCCACTGCAAGAAAGCCAAGGCGGCAATCCAGATGGAGTCAGCGAGATGATAACAACTCCACCAAACACGGAGGAGACATCACCTCCGTTTCTGCAACATCGTGTAGTCGTGGGCCTTCAGGATCAAGAACGGCGGGTTGCTGTTCGACGACCAACATCGACGGAAGGTATACGCAAAGTCCCTTTGCCTCCGCCTCCTTCTGTTGCTCAGGAGAAGTCAAGGAGGAGGGAAGCTGTACCTCCCAAATCGATCATGAAGAGAGTGACGCGCAGTGCATCTCGGGAACAATTGATAGAAAATTCTTCGGGGAGTGGTGCGTTTGGGAGAATCGGGCCACTTGAAACCTTCACAGCAACTCCTCCTGAGAGTACGGGTGCTTTTTTGGAGCCAAATCCCGTGTCTCATGAGGTTACCTCCAGCCACTTTTCAGATGTCTCTGCTTCAGGAAGACCCAATAAGCGGAAACGATCTGATGACATCGTAGACTCTCCAGTAGTTGTTCGGCGCGGGAGATACTCGAGAGGGGCGGGCGGAAAGAGTACGACCAAAGCTGTAGCTTCTACCCCAGCTTCAGCATCGGTTCCTAATGGCTCAGATGAACGCGGACCTCGGGGAATAGTACAGCCACAACGGATTTATCGAAGCCGTCACGCCATGGATAAGTTGAGCGAAGGTTCCAAGCCCTCTGGAAACGGATCAACTTCCATCAACTTCAAGCCTTCATCTAGCCTCCCACCCGAGGTCCTGAACGGTGCCAACAGGTTCTTGCCACCCAGATCGGCACCGACTCGGACTTATGGCAGTCGAAAGTTCGTTGGTCCTGCGGAAGACACCAGCTCGGCCAGTCAAACAAATGGCGAGTCCCAAGCACGATCTCAGTCCCAGCCACTTTCGCGATACTGGGGCGCCAATGATGAGACCCAGGACTCCATGACCCTCTCGCAAAATGCAAGTAAAGAAGACGGAAATGACTTGCTTCTGCCTCCGCCTGGCAACAAGTCATGATTCATATCTGCATGCGTGGTGTATTTGTCTGACATATTTTGGGGGACAGATCTTCTGGCAATGAGGTCGAGATATATGAAAATGTAAAAACAGAAAAACAAGATACGATAACAAAGAGTAGTGAAAGATGTGGAAGGATCAAAATAGATTGTCTGGTCAGATAGAAGAATCATTCTTACCACATAACACAAGAGAAGGAAAAGCCACTTGGCTGTAAACCTGGGTCACGCCCAACATGAACCGACGGTAGAGGGGCAGTGTGCTTATTTCTTGATTCCTTCTCTAAGCAAGCTGGTCCATCGGAAGAGCCCCAGAAGCAACATACCTCTATGGTACCAGTCCGTAGCTCATAGGGTGATGTTATACACTGATGGATCGGTAGTACATAATAATACACGACCGTAGACTGGAAGAAACGAGGAGGACCCCATCTTATTCTTGCTCCTCACGTCTTCATATATCCAGTCCAGCTCCGGTCCAGCCCCCTCTCCAGCTCCAGCTCACTCGCCAGCACTGGCCATTGTCTGCTGGTGATCTGTTTGATACACGTTCCGGTCGATATCGTAGTTGGTGTCATATAAGTAACCGGTTTAGGTCGGAGGGGGTGCTGCGGCCTTTGATTCCTCGCCGCTCGCCGCTTCGTTTTCCGGCTTTCCGTATCGAGGTTCCGCTCTTTCGTTCTCGCTTCTTCAACAATCGTTAAGCCAGGGGGCGCGTAACAATTTATGACCTGCCCTTGCGTTTCTGCTCGAGGAAGAGGACCTTGCGGCGAACTAAATATAACGGGAAAGTAAACTGTTAGTAGCTGTTTCTTCCTCTTCAAGCTTGTAATTCGCAAGTGTCTCTTCCGTTTCCTCATCCTCTCACTGGCCGGCCGGCCGGTGACTTTCTTCGGTTGGTGGTTGGTGGTCGGTGTGTCGAGTCCGAGAGCTCTTGTTCGTTCTAGTCCCAGTCTTAAGTCCCAAGCTAGCTCCCAAAGGTCCGGTCTGACGAAAAAGTATCTTGCATGTATGTTTCGTGTCGCGCAAGCCGAGAAAGCCCACCACCGTTGACATCCTTTCCGCCGCAGAAGAATCTCTAGGACTTCCTTATCATGTCCGTATCGTGCCATGTCGTGTCGTGGCGTGTTCGTCCGGGTGTATCATGTTCGCAAGCAACCAAAGAGGAGGAGCGAGGAGGGTGTAGTATCGAGGAAGAGCGCAGCATACCAATCGGGTCGTATTTCAGCATGCTCATAGGCAGCGAGGTACGGGGCCGGGTGAAGGTATAGAAGTAACCCGTCATGGCCATGGAGAGCAGGCGCACGTTGATGATGCGGGACTTGGCTGTTTATGGGAGTACAACATATCAGCATTCATTGTTTCTTGTTTCTGTCTGTTTTCGTTTTGCCAAAAAAAGTAAATGCGAAGGGACATGATGGAATGTGTGTTGTAATTACCCTTCTTCGCCATCTTGAACAAATTTGCGCTGTTGTTGTGCAACGGCGGCGACTGGACTGGATGAAGTGCGGTACGGCGACGGCGGACTCGGCTGGGGCTCGTCCGGACGGAGAGGTTCGCGAACTGCGAGCGGAGGGCGGGCGGATTCGCGGATTCACGGAGCACGGTCTTTGCGCCGGAAGCTCTCCAATCGACGTCGGGTCCAGTCCGCGCTTTGCGATTGCGATTGTAGAATTTTGCCGGCCGGCAGGGTGCATAGGTGGGTCGGAGGGTCGGTGGGGTTTGACCAGGTGGTGTCGGACCGGTGAAGGTACGGTGAGCAAGGTGTGGGCAGTGAGCTGGGAGCTCACCGAAGAAATGCCAAAGAGGCCCAAGGTCCAACGGGTGAGAATCACTTCACAAACCCAGTGAATAAAGTAAACATCTTGATGCCACGGTGCACTCATCTACACGTTTTCAGAACAACTTTTATATGTATCTGCCAAGGTTCATCATGGCGTCCGTTGAAAGCATCTCGGCCGTGATCTTGCCCGTTCCGCCAACGATGCACTGAAAGGGAACTGTGTAAGTTGAGGGAAAACAACATAATCCACTGGTCCTACACATCCGCAGCTAGAAGACAACAAATTGTACTTTGGAGCTTGCCAGCACAATAGCTTCCACCTACCTTGCTGTCACGAAACAGCTCAGCGATACCTCTAACGCCGTGTCGTGCTGATGGCGGTAGAGATAAGGCATGTTTAATTGACTCCCCAATCTCAAACAGGAAGTCTCGATTCCGCGACCCCAGCCAGAAATGGATCACGGAGGTTGAACCGGACCGGAACGAGGACTCTGCGCGACGAAAAGTTCTAGACCACACCGCTTTCCGTCCTCCTATTTCGGAGCTCGTTAGTTAGTTCAGTTCGAGTCACTGCAGTTGAAAAAAGGTGTGTTGGCCTGTGTGCCAATTTTTTCATAAACATTCTTGCGGCTGCTGTGTCGAAAGAAGCGATCTGAAATCCACGACTCAATTGACACAAACCGGACTCGGCCCTAAATCACATCCCAGCTTCTCGGTACTTTCGGATATCGGAGCTAGTCAGCGCACCTTCAACGACAAGCCCTTCTCTCGTTCACCTTTGACATCTCCGGGAATCCCGTCTCCCCCACCCGGCAGTATCGAGACCCTCCTCATTCATCAACACATCCGAAAGAAGATCGACAAATCGCACAGATGGCTGCCGGACTGTCAAGCGCCTTGAGGACCGCCCGTCACCGGGTGCCCAGCGCGGCCGTGAGAAATTATTCCCGTTCAACCCCTGTCCAGCAGCCGGCGTGGGGTCCGGCGACATGCGGAGGTAAGGATTACCACCCACCCACCAAAGCGGCGCGAGTCGTGTCCGACTCGGATGCGCTTTGCGTCGCTTCATCTCCCCGTCGCTTCCCCTCGCCTCGCTTCCCCAACTTTCTTGGCCTTCTTTCCCCGCACAAATCTCACGACTTCTCTCTGTTGCGACGGTCTTGGCACCTGCTTGGCAGCTGTTTCTTCGCCTTCACTTTCCCATTCCCATGTTTGATGTTGCTTCGAGTTCATGGATCTAGTTGCATCCTGAGACCCCATCCCCAGAATGTCACCTCCAGGGGCACATTTCTATCTCCCTTTCTCTCCACAATGGAAATCACCATCCCCGATTTGAGTCGACCTCACACAACACACGGGAGAGTTGCAGCCAAAACCTCAACTCCCAAGAGCCTCATGGCATGCAGTGCATGCGTTGGTCCCTATCTGCTTGATGTCGATGCCAGCCCTGGGAGCACTGCAGTCCATCAATGTTGCGGTTGCCTCCCGTCGCATGGCAGAATACGTAACTGCCTCAGTGCAACAACCTGAAGCAATTTGTTCCAGCCGCCCAAATCCCAAAGAAGTTGGTGTACCGGTATTGGACATGGGCAACCTCAAAAAAGCGTGGGACGGGGATATTGCGTGGGAGTCATCAGACGACACGACAGGCGAGACATGCGCTTTTTCTTCTTCAACCGCCCGTCTTATACACACGCACCTCAAGAAAGAGCTACACAAGCCAACCATTTATCGTCGGTTTCGCTTGTGTGCTTGGTCCCTGGTTTTACCCCTCTTGAGCTTCCCATGTTTCTTTCCGTGAAATAGGTTCACCAAAGCTGGTGAATCGTCTATCTAGCTGGTCCACGTACATGCTGTTTGCTCTCAACCCCATTCTGTTTCTTCTTGGCCGATATCAAACAAGCAACCCTTGCACATTCTCGAGATAAGCTACTGGTGTACCTCTTGAACGGGGAGTGTGGGTTCCAAACTAAAGTTTTCTAACGTGTGCCCACTCTCTAGCTTCCGGCCTTGACTCCTCCTCGGGACGCGTTGCCCCGCTGTCCAAGTCTAATAATACCCCGCCGGTTATTCACTCTTTCCCTCAGCAAACTCGGTTCCAGTCCTTCACCCAGATTCGCAAAATGTCGTCCCACCGTCTCAACATTGACAACATCAACCCGCACGTCAAAGCGGCCCAGTACGCTGTGCGCGGTGAGCTTGCCGTCAAGTCCGAGGAGTTCCGGGCTGCCCTCGCCCGTGGAACCTCCGACCTCCCCTTCAAGCAGGTCATCTCGGCCAACATCGGCAACCCCCAGCAGCTTGACCAGAAGCCCATCACCTTCTTCCGCCAGGTCCTCAGTCTCCTCGAGAACCCTCTGCTTCTCGAGAAGGAGGATGTCCTCGTCAACCACCTCGGCTACAAGACTGATGTCATTGACCGCGCCAAGTGGTTCCTCAAGAATGTCGGCTCCGTAGGAGCTTACAGCGCCAGCAACGGCGCCCCTGCTATCAGACAGCACGTTGCCGACTTCCTCGAGAGTAAGCAGGCCTACCCATCCTTGCTTATAAGCCTTGTGTGTTGCTAACAGCCGTTTTCTCTCTCCCTAGGGCGCGATGGCTTCCCTGCCAACTGGCAAGACATTTACCTCTCTGCGGGTGCTTCTTCGGGAGTTAACACCCTCCTGCACATCATCTGCGCCGATGAGAAGAGCGGCATCCTGGTGCCCATTCCCCAGTACCCTCTCTACACTGCCTCGCTCTCCGTCCTGAACGCCACCTGCGTCCCCTACCTCCTCGACGAGTCCAAGAACTGGGGCACCGACATCAACACCATCAAGGAGTCATACCAGAAGGCCAAGGACGCCGGCATCGACACCCGCGCCATCGTCATCATCAACCCCGGCAACCCCACCGGCGCCTCCCTTCCCGAGGAGGACATCCGCGCCGTCCTCGAGTTCGCCCGCCAGGAGCGCCTCGTCGTCCTCGCCGACGAGGTCTACCAGACCAACGTCTTCATCGGCGAGTTCATCTCGTTCAAGCGCGTGCTCTGCCAGCTCCAGAAGGAGAACCCCGACGGCAAGTACGACTGCGTCGAGCTGGCTTCCCTCCACTCCGTCTCCAAGGGCATGGTGGGCGAGTGCGGCCACCGCGGCGGCTACTTTGAGCTGGTCAACTTCGACCCCGCAGTCCAGGCCGAGATCTACAAGTTCGTCAGCATCATGCTCTGCGCCCCCGTCATCGGCCAGTGCCTGGTCGAGCTCATGATCAACCCACCCAAGGTCGGCGAGCCCTCTTACGAGCTCTACCAAAAGGAGTACCGCGGCATCTACGAGGGCATGAAGGAGCGCGCCACGGCGCTGCACAAGGCGTTCGAGCAGATGGAGGGCGTCGAGTGCGGAGAGCCCCAGGGCGCCATGTACCTCTTCCCTACCATCAACCTGCCCCCCAAGGCCGCCGAGGCCGCTGCCAAGGAGGGCCGCACCCCCGACGAGTTCTACTGCATGAAGCTCCTCGAGGCTACCGGCGTCTGCGTTGTTCCTGGCTCTGGGTTCGGTCAGAAGGAGGGCACCTCCCACTTCCGCACTACCTTCCTTGCTCCTGGTACCGAGTGGGTTGGCAGCATTGTCAAGTTCCACAACGAGTTCATGGATCAGTATCGTTAAGAGGCTCACACTATTAACAACGTGTGTTCAATTCGAAAACGTTACTCGATGAAATGACTTCGCTGCGTCCGTCGAGGTGCGCTGGGTGGTGGGCGTCCTTGAGATGGGTGGATGGAAGGTCTGACTATCACGGTCCGCAAAGGAGGCATTGGTTCATCGGTTCCTGCAGCCCCTCATAAGGGGTACGGTATCAAAGCTGTCGCGGGGAAACATGGTTGAACCATGGAGATGTCATCCCATTTCCCCTTGAACTTGGAACTTCACCTGCCCTGCCCGTCCTTAGACGTAAGGATAGTTGCGTTATTCATCCATCACAGCATCGAGACCGGGCTATTAATAGGCTTTGCGGGGAATAAGGAATTGAAAAAGCGAGCGAGTTCTTGTTTAGAAGCGGAAACTCGGAGTATGAGGGACAAGAGTAACTTTGTTCAGCTTTTGGGTTGGGTACGGGAGAACTTTGATACCTCAAGCGTTTTTGTTTTTACTTTTTGCTAGCCCTTTTTGCATTGTACGTACATAGCCTTCAGTTAGTAGGGTATGGGAAAATGCGAATCAGAAGGGAACAGAAAGCTTGGACTACAACAAACGAAGTCGCAACGTATTGATGACGCAGTGTCTTGATAAGAATCGAGTTGACACTTGACAATCCGATCAATGGGTTGCTTGCTTATAGACTTCTATTCTTTCTGATTTCTCATCCATCCACCGATGTCCTAGCCATCCATAACCCCCTTCCTTAGGTAATCGCTAACGATAGCACAACTCGCTCATACATCATTAACCCTTCTTTCCTCCTTCCCCAACTTTCTTTCTCCCTCCATCCCTTGATTCTTTACGCCCTTTCACTTCCCCTCAACCGAACGGCCTGTCCGTACTTTTGCAGCTTGGTAATCAACTGATCACCCTGGCGGACCACGTCCTGATACTGCTTGTTCTTGTCGTCGGGCCGGTTGGTCTCGATGACGCCCTTGCCGTTGACGCGGTCGATGGTGCAGGGGATGCGGCCGGCGGCGATGAACTTTGCTAGGTCACTGTTTTTTGTAAGGTATGGTTAGTATGTAGGGTACTGGAAATAGGGAAACAAGGGGTAAACCAACCGATCCAAGAAATCCACCGTAACACCAAAGTCATTGGCCATGCTATCCAGTCCCACAACGCGATAGCTCTGCAACAGCTGCTGGTACGCGCGCAGGCGCATCTCGCGGATGAACCAGTTCTTGTGCTCGTGCAGGTAGCGGTCCTGGGTGAGGAACTGCTCCTCCACCAGGGCGAGCGCCTGGAAGAAGAGCTTGTACCGGCCGTTGTACAGGCTGCTGACCAGCTGCGCGAGCGGGTCAAAGTCGACCGCCATCTCCGCCTCGGGCTGCTCCGTGCTGCTGCCGAGCGTGGTCAGGTTGACCACGGCCGTCCGGGCCGCCACGGGCGCGCTGTCGGCATCCTGCATCGAGGCGTCGGCGCCCGGGCCGGCCGAGATGGCGCCGGTCAGGGCGAGCAGCTTGTCCTCGCCGTCGCCGAGGATCGCCTTGATCTCGGGCGCGTCCACGACCTTGGACTTAAAGTCGACGCGCTTGAGCGAGACGGAACCGGCAAGCACGGCGTAGACCACCAGGTTGCTGTAGGTGCAGAGCTCGTACGAGGTGAAGGTGGACAGACTGTCGAGGAGCAGGGGGGCCGCGCCGCTGTAGTTGCGCACGGTGAGCAGGTGCAGACCCTCGTAAGCCTTGAGGCGGTTGCGACGGTCCCAGTCGCCGCCGGACTCGACGAGCGACTTGGCGCGCTCGAGCGTCTTCTGGACTAGCTGCTTGTCGCCGAAGAAGAGACCGAGGCGGATTATGGCGAGGACGAGATCGATCTTGGTGCCTAGGATGCCCGTCTTCTCGAGCAGATCTTGGTGCGCGGCGATGGCTTTTTCCTGAATAGGAAGGGAGATTGGTTAGTATATGTCGGCGGGAGTGTAGGGATAGCTAAGTGAACTTGTAGTGACCAACCTTATCGCCAACTCGGGCCCAGAACTCGGCCCTCTTCCCCTTGGCAGCCTGAATCTCTGTGTCTCCCGCCTTCTCAACAGCCTCATCCTCTTCTTTTTGAAACTCCTCGAGCTCCTTCTCGTTCTCGGCCTGCAGCTGCTGGTACAGGTTCTCATCCCACGGTAGGCTTAAGCTTGTGGTGGGGTTGTGGGTTGCGATCATGCCGGCGGCGATGCTGCTCTTCCTACCCAACCTTCCAGCAGCGGCCGTGTTGGAGCTGCCTTCCCCGACAGAGTTAAGGACACCCTCGGTGGGGTGCGCGAGGTATCGGTAAAAGGGCGCCATCTTGTGCTCGGTGATGGCATCTTGAAGGTTCTTGACGGCCGCTTGTTGGGCAGGGCGGGTGGCGTAGGGGTTTGTGAGAGCGAAGACATGCTGGGCGAGGGGCAGCAGAGGCCATTTCGCGTATTGAGGATCAGAGCCCATTTTGTAGTTGTGATGGGTTGCGAGGGAGATGAGAGAGGAGGTTGTAGATGAAAGACGGTGCTGTCAGTGTCCGTCGTCAAGTAGAAGCACCCCGCTGGAAATCGGCAAGCAGCTATCGAGGTGGATGCCCGACTGAGAAGGCAAGTTTCGCGGTGTTGGAAGCTCGTTGAATTAGTTCGCAATCTGAGACTGGGACTGGCGCGGTGGTTTTGCCAGAGATGCCGGGTCGAGGTTGAGGCTGGGTCGTGTTGGTGTTTGTGGTTTGTTGCTCCTTGAATGGTTCCGTTCGGAAGGTTGACAGTAGCTGACCTCACTGGAGAGACCGAAGGTGACCAAGGCCCCCAGAGCTCGCGCGTCAGCACTGGAAAGTGGAGACGGAGCTTGGAGGGCCAGGCCTGCGAGTGGAGCCGCTGGGACAGTGCCCGGGCAGGCACTTTATCGGCTCAAACACCGACCGACCCTTGCTTGCATCCTCAAAACACTCTGCATCCCGACTTCCTCTTCAATTGCTTTCTCTCCTCCACAACAACAATAACAGTTCTTAGCTGCAACAAACCGGTTTTCGAATCCCGGAAATAATCATCGGAATCTGGAGCCAAAATCACTCGTGTCAGCGTTCGCATCAATCGAGATCAACAGTCAGAATTACGACTCACACCACTCACCGTCGCATCAATTATCCTGCTGTTACACGAACCCTGGACGCCTGCCATTATTATTCTTGCCGATCAAGTCTCCCTGCGAGACCATACCATTAATCTCAGAAAATGTCCGGCTATGATGGCTACACCAGTTACAGGTCCACTCGCAAGAGGCAACGCTCAGAATCCCCCTACGACGACGACCGCAGAGACGACCGCAGAGACGACCGCAACTATGACCGCAACGACCGCAACGACGACCGTCGATACAAGTCTGCGAGGCATGACGAAGAGGAGGACGACAACGATGTCCTCCCACAGCCGTTTGACGCCCGCAAATTAGCTCCGGCCAAGAGAACTCAAACGCCCACTACCAGCGGCGAGCCTAGAAAGCAGAAGCGGCCTGGCCAACGTGCCCGCATCACGGAAGCCGAGCGCGAACAGATTCGTCAACGCCAGATGGAGCGCGAGCGCCAGGCTCAGCGGGAGGCAGAAGCGGCCGCCGAAGCCGAGCGCCGCAACACGGTTAATGACGTTGTACGCGCCCATTACAATGCTGTGCCCGAGCGTGGCCGTGACTGGCGCAAGACGGACAGTCGTATCAAAGGTCTACGCTCCTTCAACAACTGGGTCAAGAGCTGTATCATCCAGAAGTTTTCTCCTGACGAGGACCACTCCCCTGGCGCCCGTGAGCGGGGAATCAGTTCGAACAATCAGCTGTTGGTGCTAGACATTGGATGCGGCAAGGGCGGTGATTTGGGCAAGTGGCAGCAGGCGCCTCAGCCCGTGGAGCTCTACGTCGGGCTGGACCCAGCAGATGTCTCCATTGACCAGGCCCGCGATCGGTACCGTAGTATGGTGGCTCGCGGCGGCCACGGAGGCAGGGGCGGACGGGGTGGCTATAATAGGAGACAGCCGCCGCTCTTCGAGGCACGGTTCCACGTCAAGGACTGCTATGGCGAGTCGATTGAGGACATTGACATTATCCGGCAGGTTGGGTTCGCGTCGTCCAACATTGGTGGCCCCAGTCATCGAGGCTTTGACGTGGTCAGCATGATGTTTTGCATGCACTACGCCTTCGAGACGGAGGCTAAGGCGCGGCAGATGCTGAAGAACGTGGCCGGAGCGCTGAAGAAGGGCGGTCGGTTCATAGGATGTATCCCCAACTCGGACGTCATCAGCGCAAGGGTGGAGGAGTTCAACAAGCGATTGGCCGAGCAGCAGAAAGCTAAGGAGGACCAGGCCCAACCTAGCGTTGAAACCGACGGAAACACGCCCAGGGAAACAGCCCCCAATGGCGACTCCGAGAAGCCCTCGTCAGACCAATCAGAGAGAAAGCCTGCCTCAGAAGACGGGGAGGCCTCGGAAGAGGCGCCCAAACCTGACGAAGACAAGGAAGAAGGGGAGCTGGAGGAAGGCGAACTTGAACCTACTTCTGAGCCCAAACCGCCCTCCGACCCAACCATCGCAGAATGGGGCAACGACATCTACCGCGTGCGGTTCAACGGCCCTACGCCCGCCGACGGGATCTTCCGCCCTCCGTTCGGGTGGAAGTACAACTTCTTCCTTCATGAGGCCGTCGAGGAGGTTCCCGAATACGTGGTTCCCTGGGAGGCCTTCCGTGCACTGGCGGAGGATTATAACTTGGAGTTGCAGTACCATAAGACTTTCACGGACGTGTGGGAGACGGAGAAGGACGACCGGGAACTGGGGCCCCTGAGTGAGAGGATGGGGGTGAGGGATAGGATGAGCGGAAAGTTGTTGGTAAGCCCAGAGGAGATGGAGGCGGCGAGCTTCTACGTTGCTTTCTGCTTCTACAAGGTTTGAGGTTGTTTTCGAGGTGGTTGTGGGAAGGAGTCTTGGACGCTTTCCACTGGGTGTCATTATTTTCCCCGAAGCTTAATTCCATTTATTGCAACATTAGTAATTGGCCGCCATTGCCCATGAAGGAGTTGGTCGGTCCGCGAAAGAACGATTAAACTAGAGGTTAAGCGATCTAGAGGGCGGACTGGTTCCGAAATGCATGATAGACGATTCCCAAGGTCTTAGGCCAACTTGCTGCGAGCGGTTATGTAATCCAGGACGGCCAAACCAGTGGCGTCAATATTCTTTGCATCACCATCGTCCCTGTGGGCCGGGGTTGATTAACCTTAATCGCCAGACCCGACCAAGGAGGGACCTCGCTTATCGATAAACGCGCGACCGACATCGCTACGGGGCGGTGCCGCTACCCCGGGATATTTACGGAGTTGCACGGCATCTGCCCCACTACCCCACCAATTGTCAGCGCCCGGCGACGATGACAGTCTGGCGGATTCCATTTATCCCCACATGCATTATTGACATGCCTTGTTGGAGACACTTGACACCTTCAAATTCACTGATCAGGAGAGAGCTTGTGACTCGGGGACTGCGCCGCATTCACACACCAACAGCATTTTGTAATCATCAGTCGGGCGGAGGTTTGAGACAACTACGATCCGAAAATCCACCGACCATCCGCCAAGTTTCTTGGGATATATTATCAACTCATCTCACCACCCAACTCATCCGACATACGACTCATTCTCTGGGTCACATCTCACAACCTCTCTTCCGCCGTAACCATTCAACCATCACCACCAAAACACCACCAAAAATGTCCCTTCCAAACCCAGACAACCGCCCCCTCCTAATCGGGCCTCCCACCGGCCCCGAGCCCCCCTTCCCCTTCCGCATGGAAGGCAAAGTGATCTCCGGCTTCGGCCGCGGCTCCAAAGACCTCGGCATCCCCACCGCCAACCTGCCCGTCGACGACGAAAACACCTGGATCAGGAACATCGACTCGGGCGTCTATTTCGGCTGGGCCTCGCTCAAGCTGCCCGCTTCGCATCCCAACTCGGTCTTGTACCAGAAACCTCCCACTTCTGAGCCGGTTATGGAGCCTATTACCCAGCAACAAAATCAACAAAAAGAAGGAGGAGAATCAGCCCAAGAAGAAAAACTCCAAGACCAACAAACCGGCCAATGGCAGATCTACCCCATGGTCATGTCCATCGGCTACAACCCCTTTTACAAGAACACGGTGCGCTCGGCCGAGGTGCACGTTTTGGAGAAGTTCGGGGCGGACTTCTACGGGGTGGAGATGAGGCTTTTGGTTATGGGGTTCATTCGGAATGAGAAGGATTATAGCGGGCTGGAGGCGTTGATTGCTGATATCGAGTTTGATTGTGAGGTGGCGAGACATAGTTTGGCGAGGAAGGGGTGGAGGGTTAGGGATTTGGGTGTGAAAGAAGGGGAGGAGGAGGGAGAATTGGATGGGAGTTGGTTGGTTAGGTGAGGGAGTAAGGGGAGTGGGTGAGGGAGGAGATTAAATGAAGGGCGATGGGTACGGGCCGAGAAGAAATGAAGGGCGATTGGAAAGATTAGACTTGTGCGAGGTGTGGGAATAATGACTGGATAGCAAGACTATAGAATCTAGAGATGTAAAGCTGGGTTGGAGTGTCAGGGAGGAAAGAGGCATCTATATAAGAAGAGACGAGACAGTTTTTGGATTAGAAGGAGAGGGCAAGATACTGGGAGAAAAATTCGAATATATGTAGGTCGTCATGAGAAAGAGACGCGCTGGTCAAGGCAGTGTTAGTTTGACATTACCCATGGAGGTGAGTACAATCTAATGCTAGTTTGTTTGTTAGTTTGGAACTCCTGGTATACTGGACGAGATCTATCCCGAATTGTCCCAGACCTCACAAGGATAAAATGAATGGCTAGGTAGGGTTCAGAAAGCTATTAAGAAGATTCAATATAACATATTGAATTTCGGAAGAAGCATATTCGAAGTAAAATCACGCTTTGGTTATAGAACGAAACGAATTAATTAGACATTAAAACGCCTAGGGAAGCTGACCCGAGGTCTCAAGCTAACAAACAAACCAGTATTGGACTGTACTGTCGGTTTTCACCATCTCCGTCTTGTCCCCCACCTCCCCAAAGACAAGGACGACACTTACAACATGGCAATCCCTAATCATATCCAAATTCTTGCATAGAATTCTTTGAAGTGATGTTAATCACGTTGACATTTTTCAGCTTCTCTTGTTCTTCGGAATCAACGATGGGTTTCGAAGAAGGATGGGTAGTGACGACCAAGGGTATCACGTGCATGCCGTCTCGATCTGCTAATTGATAAGATACAACTGGGGTTTCTGCTGTTTGTCCCATCTCCCGTGTCGAGCACCTGCAGTGCATCGTGAAGGAGCGACCGGTATTTGCGGGGCTGGTCATTTGAAAATCACTCTCTTCTCCTCTTCATCATCTTTGCCTTGTCTACCATCCAAGTAAGCAACGGATTGTCTTTGAACCTTCTCCACTATCTGCGCAGTCTTCTCTTCTTTTCTCTACAATGTTCATTCTTTGATGGTACAAGAAGTCGCACGATGGAGCTTGTAGTTCAACTTCACCATCGGGCAAGCGCCCCACTTTGGAGTATGATGTCTGAATTCTGTCTAGCTCCTTTCTGGTACAAAAAGATTTACAACCCAAAGCACGATGCAAAAGACTTGTTTTGCGTACCTCGACCTCTCAAGATCATAGATCAGCATCAAAAGATGTCTACACCAGGTAAGTTCTGCCAAATGGCACCATGAGACGGCCATCGGATTTATCTTACTGATGTCTTCCATGCAGTGGCATACTCGCACCTCTGCTCTGAGTGCAGCGAGAAGCTTCGGTTCCCAGGGTCGTCCTTACCTGCGGCTCCTGTCGATAGTCCGGGAAATGATGCCGAAGACCACGAGGCTGGCATTGAACAAGAAGACGACGAAGACGAAGACTGCAAGCTACTGGAGTACACGCTGCGTGGTCATCGGGTTGACTGCGACTACACCATCATCGAAAGTTACCCAGATCTTGCTCTTTTAACAGCAAGATCGTCAGAATGCAAATTCTGTCGGCTCTTGCGGCAGTCTTTAACGTCGAAGGAGTTCCGTATTCTGGTTGAGGATCAAACCTTCAGTCACGTTGCCCCACTCGACCTTTGGATATCGCTGAGCTACGCATGGGACTTTAAATATACCGGGAATGAAGATGATAGGGAGGTAGGACTTTGGTTCCTGACAGCTGATTTATATGAAAACAGTCAATGTAAGTGCTGCTCTGTTCCACCTCTCCAGGCCAATCCTCTCACTCGGCGGGTCAAACAGTGAATGGACATCACTTGGGGAGCATTTCCTTCCCTCTATCAACTGCTTCCGGTGAGTTTCTTGGACACATCACTTCACTCTATCACACATTGTTAAGCCTTGCAAGCAGAATCCATAACCAATTTTTATGGAATGGGTCCCTCTATCTACCGCGACCCCTTCTCAGAGCGCTCTCTCTCCTTCATTTTGCGTGAGCTCGAATGCTGCTCAAGTTCCTGCACCCACCCCCAACCGTCGTCTAATTTCCTCCCAACCCGTCTCATTGCCATCACAAATGACTCGGACGAATGCAGAATCATCCATTCCCGGGATCTCCCATCTTCCACCTTTAGAAAAAGTGGGACACGCTATCTAGCCCTCACATACTGCTGGGGAAACGCCGAGGAGGCTTCACAACAGAAGAAGCTCACCCCCAGCAACGCTTCATCTCTCTACAACCCCGGCTTCTCAATCGCAGATCTAACTCCCATACAACAAGACACGATTAAGCTAGCCAAGTCCCTCTCGATTTCGTTTGTCTGGATTGACGCCCTCTGCATCTTACAAGGTGACAGTAAGGATTGGGAGCGCGAATCAGCGCAGATGGACGATATTTACTCGAACGCCTTCTTCACTGTTTGTTCGCTGACTTCGTGGTCTTGTCTGGAAGGATTTACATCCGCGGAAGAGAAAACATCGGTTCCTGTGGCATTCAGATCAGCCTTTGATCCTGACATCCACGGTGAGATTGCCATAAATGGCAATTTTGTTGTCGGCAAAGACGTACTGAATCCTGAGCGGTTCTCTGGGGTAGACATCAGTCAGAGCCAATGGATTCGCAGGGTATGGACGTTTCAAGAGTTGGCGTTGAGCCCACGGTTTGTACACTTTGGGGGGTCTGGCGTGGGTTTCCAGTGTAAGAGCAAGGCAATGTATGACTGGGGTGGTCTAAAGGGGTCACCCAACAGGATGATCGGGCTTGGGTTGAATGCGGCTGCTGGAGGTGAAGACGACGATACCCAGAACAGCCATGGGAATCAAGACTTCTGGAACAGAACCGTCCTAGCCGCATACTCCCAGCGCAAAATCTCATACGCCAGCGACATCTTCCCTGCGCTCTCTGGGCTTGCCAAACGGGCAAGCAAAGCCATCAAGTCGAAATACGTCGCTGGGATGTGGAGGCGGGACCTCCCCTACGCATTGATGTGGACAAAGGAGCGCCCTGAAGCGACTTCATTGTAAGAACACCTCAAATTCGTTGAGTCACAGCCCGTATTCGTCGCGCCCTCTTGGAGCTGGGCTGGTTGTGGCCGTGTGTCCTTTAATGTCGGCGACTTTTTCATGTTCGACAACGATTACATGTACTACAAGGAGATGTGCACTTCCCCGATACACGCAGATACGGTACAAAAAGGCCTGGACCCCTTCGGAGCCATCAAATCTGCGAGCCTCTCGTTCGAGGCGATTGTTTATAGCCTGTCGGATGGCTATCATCTCCCGAGCGAGTTTTACGGATTTCACCACGGGATGTGTTACTTGGGGAACGAAGGGGACAAACCGCTGATCAACTTTAACTTGGATTGGATGCCCAATGAGACCGACAAGGACCTCGGGAAACTGATGCTTGTGTTGCTGGGAACAGCAATCCCTATCGAGGACACTTCGTATCATCTAGGACGTGGAAGATATCGTTCGTTCTTGGAAAAGCCGTTCGGTCTTCTAGTACATCCCAGCATGAGGGAGAAGGGGAAGTATGTAAGGGCGGGCACCTTTTCGGCGAAGAGCTTCCACCAGGAAGACAAGTTTCTGCCGCTAGAGATGAAATTCTTTGAGGGTATGGAGAGACGAGTGATTGAGTTGTTATAACGATGGGGCTTCAATGAAGCTCTCAGCAAATACGCACAACTTGCTGTGGCTCGCCCCCTTCAAAACAACAAAACCGTTCTTCCAAGCTGAGCGAACCCACACGCCGGTACATAGACTCTTCAGAGATATACGCCACCGCGGCTATCAGAAAGTGCTCACCACCGCCTATACAAAAGATCTTGACGAGGCTTGGTCTATCTATCAGCATGTCTGTCTGTCTGTCTGTCTGTCTGGCGCTGTCTAGCGCCAAAGCTGACCGACCTCCCAAGACCGTTCGAATGAACGAATGCCTACCTCTACATATGCAAGTTCGGCTAACACTTTGAGCTGAGTGGATGCTGAGTGGTCTACAAAATGGGCTAGGGAAGGCGCCACCACGCCGGAGCAGGCTCCGGTGGCCTTCAGACGGATCGGAAAGGGATCAACAAGATTCAATATGACATATTGAATTTCCGAAATAGCATATTCAAGGTAAGATCACGCTTTATTCATAGAACGAAACGAATCAATTAGATATGAAAACGCCTAGGGAAGTTGACCCGAGGTCTCGAGCTAACAAACAAACCAGTATTGGACTGTAGATGATTCTTGCCTCCCTGATGCTCCAACTGTCTGTGTACCATTTGTACGATAATTTGGGGATGAATTCAGAGAAAAAGACCCTATTGCCAAGAATATCGTGATGACAATAAGTATCCAATGCAAGCTCAGCTGACCAACAACTACCTCTACGAACATTGTTTCCAAGAACGACGACACCCTCCCTTATCGCTTGTTGCTTACTATATACTATGCACAAGAAGTAAAAATTCTGACACCTCGATCGTCCACACGTCCGCACAACTGAAGACGAGAAATATGAAGCAGCAAAATCCAAAATGTCTAAAGCGCCTGAGTATCCCAAAAAACTGATGACGATGATCACCCGTAGCTAGTTCACCTAAGGGGGAACAGCAAGTTGAAAAGGGAGGATGAAGGGAGGCTTCATCGTAAGAGCACATAGGATGATATCTCCTAGTTATCATCTCCATGTTGAGACTGAGACGGGGTGGATGAGTCGTCTGATGGACGGTTCCATGTTCGGACGTGACCTGTTTACAGGTTTGATTAGCCCTACTGTGTCCCAAACGGAAGGGGGTAGGTATAAGGGTTTTGTCTATACATACCAGACTTGCAACTCGTCACGATCCCGTCCTTGGTAAAGCCAAGCCAACAAAGCGGGTCGTCATCGACGATTTTACTCTGTTTTGGTTCCACCACCGTTAGATTTCATCCCATCATCACAGCTGTAAGCACAAAGGGGTATAAGTAGGAAAGCAGGTACATACCAAAACAGGGGGTAACATGGCCGTTCTTGCCCTCGGCTCCACGGGGTGCGGTTCAACCTGCTTTGGAGTGGTAGGCACAGGTGTCTCCTCAGCAGGCGCGTCTCCCGAACTCGACAAGTTTGAATCCGATCGCAGACGATTACTAGTCGTTGTATTCTGCGTTTCGGCCCGCTGGAGAGATGCGAAACGGGATGAAAAGGAAGATCCTCTCTGTCGTACTGATGCCTGTGATTCGGATCCGGAGGTCAGCTATCAGATTGAAATAGTAGTTCCAAGATGGGATGACTGCAGACATCACTTACAGCTTTGGGTCGGTGCAACATGCCGACACTGAAATCCCACAAGCACAACCGACAGTCCTCGCCAACACTACCAAACCGGTAGTTTTTTCCGTCATACTGCCAGGGGTCAAAGGCTACCGAGGTCACCCACGAATGATGGCCTTGGCACCTGGCGATGAGGGCAGATTCGGAGATACACCAGATAGAAATTAGGTCATCCTGACCACCAGTAAGGACGTACTTGCCATCGGGCGACCAACAAACACACATTAAGCCGCCGTAATAAGAGTAAAACAGGTCAATCAGCCTACCGAGTCGACGTTAGCTTTGGGAGGCCGAAAATGTGGTAATGGAGTACTGACTCTTCCTTCAGATAATCAATTATCCTCAACGTGCCGTCTTCTGAAACTACGGCGAGATGCCGATGGTCAGGAGAGAAGGCGAATGCGTTGATGCGATGGTTTGAAAGCTTCCAAACAGCCACTGGATTCGCCTTCTGGTTCTTTGAGTGAACAGATTTGTGGACGTGGATCTGGCTGGTGTAGTTGCCACCCTTGACGCCGTTGGGAACACCATTGCTCTCCCCGCTGGCGCGAGTGGCGGCCTCGTCTTCCGGTGAGAAAGTGGCATCCTCCTTCTCTTTATCGTACACGACTAATGTTCCGTCCATATGCGCTGCCAGGAAGAGGTTTTCCGATCCAGGGATCCATTGGATCATGGAGACCGGTGTCTTGTTGATAAGGCCCTGTTGCTCGTCATGTAAGTTTACAACCAGCCAACAGGTGACGCTACGTGGTCACATACCCTTTTGTTTAGACGAGTGTACCGTTGTGATATGGGTTCCCACCAAATTATTTCACCAGTCGAAAAGCCCATAATCACATCAATGTGTGACGAGGTCTTGGTTAGCCTGTTAACATCGTGGCAGAGACAATGCGCTTTGGTAAAGAGAATTTTGGTCAAGTAGTCGGCCTTGGAGGATGAAGAGAGATCCAGCCACTGAAAAGCTCGGTTGATGTTGGCAAACGCGAATAGGCCGTCGGTTGGTCGATCATTTAGCCTCTTGTGTAGAGACTCGTGGACTATAACACGGGAAATAAACGAAGAGTTGCTTTTTGTCATGCTGTTCTTGGGCTTTTTTCGTTTATTGTTGTCCTTTGAGTTTGTTTGAGCCAGAAGTGTGTTTCCCTCGCCAAATGCAGGCGTATTGGAGAAGATAGCGCCGGCATCGCTAGAAGCGGCGCGGGCACCCTCGCTGCTCCCACGCACCCCGGAAGACGACCGGCTTTCATCTGGATGTTCTTGGATAATCTGCTGGACCCCATTTGCTCGAGAAGCGACCCTAAACAAGCCTGGCGGTGGCGGGCGTATCTCGAGATTGACAACGGAGAGGCTGGTGCCGGCAGTGGCAGGTTGAGGGGTCGTCGCGAGAGGATTCGGATTGATGACTGGAGCTTCGGATGGATGTGGTGGGGGGGTTGCAAGATGCAGGTCTTCCTTGAGCGTGTACAGGCCCTCTCCGACCAGGAACTGGTATTCGGGCCCTGAAGGGTGCGACAGGATATTGTTGGTCTCTATCATGGGCGCAACATAACCAGGGACGAGTCCGTATCCCGCCTGGCTTGGATACCTCGGCGGTGGAGGGAGGACACTATGGATGGAATAGGTAATATCAGCCTGCATGCTCTGTGCTTCTACTTTTCTGTGTCTGTATCTTTTGGTGGGGGTTTGTTCTTTGCGCTTTGTCCTCCGACTTGGGTATAACAAGAAGTGGCAGCTTTGTACAAGGTAGGTCTGCTTACAACATGGCTGCTACTGCGGACTCCAGTTTGTCGGCTTAACGCGCTTTATGGCGCTGGACTCGGTAACCTCGACAACTGCTGTTCGCTGGGATAGCCTGGAGAGCCGCCTGGGCTTGTCTTGCCGCACGCAGACACAAAGTCCCAAATAGCAGGGTTACAAGAGGACCAAGGCTTGAGAACGGGCGGGCTTGGAATGGATGGGCGTGGGCGGTGGTGGTGTCGTCGGCGAGTAAGAGGTTCGGGAAGTTTTAGTTTCAGAAGCAGGAGTTCAAGACGGGAGGAAGCAAAGATAACGGGAGATAACAGTATCCAAGAAGTATGGGAAAGCTCGAGAGTTCAAGTATACAAAAGGCGGATCAGGACGGAAGGTGATGGAGGAGACGGAGTTGGAAGAGGGGAAGAGAAGAGACGGCCTCAACCTGGAATTGAGTTCGGGGAAAGACACAACGAAGGATCGACATTGTTTAAGGATAACGTACGCTGACGCGCCAACACGCTAACAGCACGACATGATGTTGGACTGTGACGGACAGGGGGGTCATTTAGTCGCATTTTGGATGCTTCAGAAGGCTGGGGAAGCGCGGATGGGGAACTGCGGAGCGGGCGGGAGCCACTGGGAGTCTGGGACCGCTCCTCACTGGCCGGCTCGCCGAATGGATCTCGGGAAAGTGTGGGGTAAATCGGATGAATGAGCGACGACATCGCCCGGAGCCTCGGCGGCGGCCCGGACCTTTGCCCGTTGGGTGTTTGTCATTCCTTCTGGAAGCCTTGTGTCAAACCAATGAAACACCACCTCTCTTCACACTCTCTTTACAGTCACAACAGCAACATTTCAGCCTCTGAAGTTCATAGAGTACATGAGGTATGCAAATTCGCCTGCAGATGCACGATTGGGGTAATTGGAACCTTACCTTATCAATGTAACGCTTGGCCGCCCCTCTTCCAGCCTTTGACGTCGCATCTAGCGACTTGGAAATCAAATCAATGTTGACATGAATCTTTAGAGGATCGCATCTCTTAAGAGCCATGATGCTACTCTTTGGTGTTGTTCATTGAGCCATAGAAAATATTAGTTGCGATCAAACATGAGACTCGTGCAAGCGCCGGCGCCGATCGCGGTATGCTCGGGAGAGAGATTCCATCACCTGACAACATCATTGAGCTCCTTCGTACCTGATCATGGGATCCTGGCTGGACAATGTAGTTCTCTTGCATCGGTAACCTTGGCTTACTGAGCTTCATGGTCCAGGTTAGTCACCATGTCTCGCTCTCAGAGTTGTCTGGATCGAATCGCAAATACACATTCCCATATACAGTAACGCAGTTGTCTAGGAGAAGCATTCCAACCAAGACCTGGACTGCAAGATTGTTTACAAGTGCAACAATAACCGAGATGTGGTTGTCTAGACAACTTTAGCCAGGCGGGGAGGTCTGGACCCACCGACCCCAATTCGCCCAACCAGCGCTCTTTCTGAGTGGTCAGTTGAGCAAACGAAATTCCCCACTTTAAGGACCTCGACGACTCCTTGGCTTGAGCAACTTGGAGCTCGTTCGATTTCAACAAAACCATCCGACCACCTGCTCACCTGCTTATCTGACACTGACAGTCTTTTTCAGTTTCTCAACCATCTATCAAGACAACCCGATCCCGTTGCCGTGTTGAACATTGCGCCGCGACTTCAACCCCTCGAAACAGCCTGTGCAGGTTATCATGGAATAGCAGCCCTGAGTCTTACGGCCACACCCACAATGTCTACTGGTACGAATCACGCTGCTCTCCCTTGATGTGCTACATACAATATCAAGATCTCCAATCTTGCGCCTTGCTGTGTTGCATTTTGTGTCAACAATTTATCCCTAGAACTTGTTGATCTAATACATTGTAGCAGTTCGGATCTGCGTTTGCGGCGATGAGGGGACGGGCAAGTCCAGCTTGATCGCCTCTCTAGTCAAGGGCGTCTTCGTCGCCAACAAGATACAGGCCGTCCTGCCTCAAGTTACAATTCCCCCGACGACCGGAACGCCCGAAAATGTTACCACCACCATCGTCGATACATCCGCCCGCCCACAAGATAGAACCACCTTGCGCAAGGAGATCCGAAAGTCCAACGTCATTCTTCTCGTCTACTCCGATCACTACAGCTACGAACGTGTTGCCTTATTCTGGATGCCATACTTCCGATCCTTAGGAGTCAATGTTCCCGTCGTGCTATGCGCCAACAAGTCGGACCTCGTCAGTGATGGAAATGCTGCACAGGTGGCCGAGGAAGAGATGCTTCCTGTAATGGCCGAATTCAGGGAGATCGATTCGTGCATTAGGACGAGCGCAAAGGAGCAGAAGAACGTAATCGAGGTCTTCTATCTATGCCAGAAGGCCGTTACGCATCCGATTGCTCCCTTGTTCGACTACAAGGAAGGCCAGCTGAAGCCCGCTTGCGTTGATGCGTTGAGGAGGATATTCTTCCTGTCCGACAAGGACCAGGATGGGTACCTGAACGATCAAGAAATGCAGGATTTTCAGCAGAAGTCTTTTGACAAGCCACTTTCACAAGAAGACCTCGATAACATCAAGCTGACAGTCAGCAAGTCGGTGCCGAGCTCTAGCACTGACAAGGGTTTGGATCTACGAGGGTTTCTGCAACTGAACAAGCTATATGCAGAAAAGGGGCGGCACGAGACGATTTGGATCATTCTCCGGAAATATCACTACACAGACAGTTTGAGTTTGGAGGACAGCTTCTTACACCCACGATTCGACGTCCCCGACTATGCGTCCGCAGAATTCAGTCCAGCAGGGTACCGGTTTTTCATGGATCTTTTCTTGACTTTCGACAAGGACAACGATGGAGGCCTCAACGACCGGGAGCTTGCTGCCTTGTTTGCGCCCACCCCAGGGCTTCCACATTCTTGGGCCGAGACTTCGTTCCCCTCCACCACCGTCCGGAACGAGGCTGGCCACATCACTCTACAAGGCTGGCTCGCCCAGTGGAGCATGACTACCTTCCTAGAACCCAAGACAACCCTCGAGTACCTCGCATACCTCGGGTTCGAGACACCAAACGCCCGCGAGACGACCACAGCAGCCCTCAAAATCACAAAACCCCGGAAGCGGAGACGTCGGCCAGGGCGCGTCGACCGCAACGTAGTCCTCTGCTACATCCTCGGCTCCTCGGGCGCCGGCAAATCCTCCCTCCTGGACGTCTTCCTCAACCGGCCCTTCGACACGCTCTACCACCCCACCATCAAGCCCAGACGAGCCGTCAACAGCGTCGAGCTCCAGGGCGGCAAGCAGTGCTACCTGATCCTGGAAGAGCTCGGCGAGCTGGAGCCGGCCATCCTCGAGAACCAGGCCAAGCTGGACGCCTGCGACCTCATCTGCTACGCCTACGACTCGTCCGAGCCCGACTCGTTCTCGCACATTGTCGAGCTCCGCAAGCGGTACCCGCAGCTCGACGAGCTGCCCGCCGTCTACACGGCGCTGAAGGCCGACCGCGACAAGACCACGCAGCGCAGCGAGCTGCAGCCGGACGCGTACACGGCCGCCCTCAACATGAGCGCGCCCCTGCACGTCAGCGTTACCTGGCACAGCATCAGCGAGCTGTTCGTGGCGCTGGCGGAGGCAGCCACGAACCCCAGCACGGCGTTCCCGAGGAGCGAGGATCCGCCAGCGGATAGAGCCAGCTTGTACATGGCCCTGGGAGCGACGGCGTGCGCGGCGCTGGCGGTGTTTATGATTTGGAGGAGGTCGACTTCGAATGCTGCTTAGATTGCAGAGTGTCGCGCCGTTCGTTGGTGTATGAGTTGGTTGCAGGGGATCGGGGGCGACGTGGTTTCCTTGAATTGGTTACCGTCATACACTGCCCACGAAATTCTTCTCCGGTGTTTTTTTACCTTTTTACTTTTATTTTGTTTCGAGTTGCTGGTGGCATGGGGGCTGGCTGGTTCGGTTGGTGTTCAACAAATACATACATAGCGCATTGAATTGATTCATGATACCCTCTCCCCAACATTATATACCAAAAACACACAGCCTCGGCGTAGCGTTTTTCTTCGAGGCATTCTCATGTTTTGTACCGCGTGTTCTACCGTTCTTTTAGCTCAAGGTTGAATTATATAAACATCACCACAAAACACGAATAGCGAGTTGTTCTTATGTCTTCATATCACCGCACAAAATGATCACCAAGCTGTAAGTGACATGAAACAACCAACTCACCGTAGTAGGCACAAGCCCCAGCTTCATATCGCGAAGCTGCCAAAACGGATGGAAGGAAGGATTGAAAACATGAAGTTGAAGACAACGCAGGTAAGCCTGGAGGCAAATGAGAAACAAAACCATTACAATATGGCGTTGTCAGGCCGTAGCCATACATAAAATAAATTCCGACTCCGACACAGTGGGAAAGAAAGAAAAAAAAAAAAGTAAAAAGAAGTGGGAAAGGTGACAAAAAGCGAAAATAAAAAATTGTCAAAAAAAGAATCGATCCACCCAGGGGTCGAACCTGGAACCTCCTGATTCGTAGTCAGACGCTCTGCCATTGAGCCAGCGGACCTGTTATCATTTGATATGTATTCTTGTCAGAGTCTGCACCTATATAGTCTTTTATAATAGGTATTCTTCCCTCGTGGCTGTGATCGTGCGGTGGCGTGCGGGTTTGGCGTGGTTTTTCACTCGGATGCTCAGCTGTTCAGGGGTGCGGTGATGGTGTGCAGGCGGGAGCAGCTGCAGTTGTGCTTTTTTTGCAAAAAAGTGAAAAGAGGTGTGGTGACGTCAGTGGTTTTGGGTGAGCTTGGCGCGGGCGGTTTGTGGTTGACGGTTGTGCATCCGAGAGATGGGATTGGGAAGAGCAGGAAGGAACGGAGGCTGTTGGTTGGTTGATTGCTGGTTTCAGTTGTTCTTGCCTTTTTTGGTTGGCTCGGTTGTGAAGTGTTGATATCAAGAATCAGGGTTGGGGTTATATGCGGGATACAGTCCACAGTGTAAGTGGTGACGGTCTTGACGGTTTTGATCAACGGTTCAAGGAAGTTGGATATCAAATGATTTGCATCTTTAATCATTGATGAACCCTTGATGAACCCTTGATGAACGGTCTCTGTGGCGTATGACGATGACAGAGTGACAGAGTTTAAGCGCTGCTTGACCATTGGTTGGAGGAGAGAGCATTCTGTGTAATCGATGTTTCGGTTTTTTGCAGAATCCCATTCCCATATATTGGCAAAAAGAACCGATATCTTTTATGCCGGATGGGGCAAAGAGAGAAGGTGGGACAGAACTGTCCTTGATTTGCCTGTTTTGGATATCCCCTCTGAAAAGGTACGTGATACCCGATACCCGACTTTGGGAAACTTTTTGGGCTTAGGTGGTATGCAGAGCCGATAGCTGTCACAGCGCCGTGGCGTGTTGATGAAGATAATGATGGTGTCTGGTTTCACCCTTTGTATGTTTGGGCAGCAAGTTGAAAGGCCTATTCAGGCGTCAAGTCGTCCGCAGGTGGGATGGAAGGAGATGTGAACGGTGCGTATATTCAAAGTGCCGTGCTAATTCGCCATGCCCCGTTAACGTACGAGTTCTGAAGGCTTAACGTAGTCCTCCGCGAGTCCGTGGTAGGTCAACAAAGGCCATAGACTGTCTGCCTCTCTATAATTCGTCTCTTCACGAGGTTATGTTGTTTCGATTCCGAAATCACGTAATCAGCTCTCTTTCCTCTCACGGTGTTCAATATGGCCATACTCATCATGCAGAACCGGCCTTGTCTCGGAATGATGTGTGAGTTCATTGTCCCAGCTCGAAATATAATCCAGATACTTTTGGTCCTCGTTGCCATGATAGTCCTCGCGTTCCCCATCCTGCCCCTTCAATCCCTTCTCTGATTTCCGAGACGAATCACTCTTCTCCTGCTTGTCCGTTCCATTCCCTACCAGGCCCGCCCGCTTCTCCCACATCGTAGCGCAAAAGCCGATAAAAGCGCCTCATCGAAAGGCCCAACTCGCTCGCCAAATGCCCTGTTCAAAGAAACAAGAGATGAAGAAGATCTAAAGCAGGGCCAGAATGCCGCTCTGTAATCTGAACAGGCGATAATGTAACAGTAAGTGATGTGGAAAGAACAACCAACCAACACCGGATTGGTTCTTTTTTGAAACGACAGAAGTGAAGCCGATGAATGAATAATGATATAAATATGAAAAAAAAAGAATAAGACGAATCTCATCGTCATGCCCGATCGCAGAATAAGACGCCTTTCGCAATGATGTTGATGTGAGCTCCCAAGCCAACGTAGTGAACCCCGGAATGACAGCAAAAAAAAGCAAAACCCTAAAACGCCCCGACGTGTGCCAGATGGTATCGTTTCTAACCCTCTCTCCCTTGTTTGTTGTTGTTGTTGTTGTGATTGTAGTGATCGCGCGGTGTGGTGTTGTTGTTACTGTTGCCTCTCTCGTCCCACTTCTCTCTCTCTTTCCTTTCCTTTCCTCATTCGTAACTCTCGCCGCTTTCATTCCTTTTCGCACTGGAAACCCATGCTGTACCGGTATTCCCCTGTCTCATCTCGCACCGGGATCATCGTCAAGAGGTTGACGAACCGTTGACCGTTCTTCTTGAAGTTGACCACCTCGACCTGCACCTCGGCGTTCTTGTCGATCGCTTTCCTCATCTTCTTGATCGTGTTGGGGTCGACGTACTTCCTCGTCGATTTTGGCTTGACCATGCCGTCGGGCGACTGAAGAAACCGGCAGTTCCTCCCCAGGACCTCGGCGCTGCTGTACCCTGTCATATAGAGAAAGGCTTCCGACGCGTACACAATTGGCTGGTCTTTTTGCTTCAGATCGCACATAATCAGAGCGCATGACGTGTCAACCGGGCCCAAGTCCACCTGGGGGTTTGGCCTGCTCATAATTTGAACCTGTTACAGGGTGTTAGCCGCTTTAGACTCCCCTATGGCAATAATGGACAGGCTCCGAAAGTGACTAACCAGATAGCCCATGATGTCGTAACCGCCGGGAGCGTAGAGCGTATGGAAGAAGAGAGGGTTGGCCGTGGGTGCAGTTTGGTCATAGTGGTATTGCTGGGGGGCTTTTGTTAGCAGGGGTACCGCCACCAAGCAGAAGAAAGGAGAGCTGTTTACCTGATACGCCTCAACTTCCCACGGGTTCATGGTGCTCGAGTTCACGGTGTGGCTCATGGTTGCTGGCTATGAGACAGTATGTTGGTAGGGTAGATGACGGTTTCTTTAGCCGGCTGAAGAGGCTTTCGAGTAATCACCAGGCGGCAGTCCCCTAGCTGGCAAGAGCTGACTGTTGATGACAATGTTCTAGGCCGACCTGTCTGGGACAAGTGAATCGGTAGTGTAACCGGAATAGGTTATCGCATAGGCCAATGGAGTCGAGGTCTAGATTGTGCTTGTTTGGTATGATGATATCTTGGTTGAAGGCATCCACGGTGGCAAGAAGCAAGGTAAAGGAAGAATGGCCATGAGGTTAAAGGAAGAAGAGGGTATTTAAGAAGGCCCTAAGACGCAAAAGTCTGGTTGGGACCGGGCGTCGGAATGCCGTCGATCGAGATCTAGGATATCCGGAGCAGGAGTTGGCGGCGGAACGAGGTTGTGTCAGTGCAGATGTGAGGGTCGAAAGGTGGAAACAGCCCAACGAGGACACACGCTTCGGTGCGATAAACGAAGTCAAGACGCAAGGCCCCAAACAAAGTCTGTATCGGGGATTTGGTAGACCTGGTTAACAGCCGGTATCCTGCTGGTCCAAAGTGGGAGCCGGAGGTGTTTGGGAGGCCCAGGGTCCTGTATGGAGAGACACCACAGCTCAGGAGCCAGGCAGGGCAGGCCAACGGGGGGGCCAGGGACATGTAGACAAAAAGAGAGACAGTTGCCAGAGACAAGACGCCGATCCAATCGAACGGTACACCACGACTTTACACGTTCCATGTAGTGTACGTAGATAGGTAGCCAGGGTAGCCTGAGGGCACACAAGGAGGCCACGGCTCGGACAACAAGAGGTGGGAGCTCTTTGTGTGTGCCATTGACGATACGCGGGAGCCAGGCCGTGGGTGGTGGGTTCCAGACCATGTGGATGCGACATGTTGGCCGTTTCTTTCTTTGAAGAGTGGTGTGCTTGCTGCTGTCCCGTTGTCCTGCTCTGCCGTGCTGTCTCTACTGCAGTCTCCATCATCCCGTCTCAGCGCCGAGGCCAGGATCTGGTGAGTAGTCTGATCACAGCCTGCATCGGGAAGCTCTTGAGATCGGGAAACTCAAAGGGCACACAGGACACAACGGGAGTGGCCGAGCACTCGGATGGATCCAATGATGGGACCGTATTTCCTTTGAGACCCTAGGCGGAAGACCCTGGCATTAGACAGTGTGTGTTGAGCGGATTGGATTTCAAGAAATCCCATCATGTACCCCATCTTTATCGACAACTTACACCGTATGGCGTTTTTGTCATCACGCTCATCATCGACGCTGACCAACCCCTTCCAGTTTATTTGACCATTGCACCCCCAACCCAAGACCAATGGCACCATTTGCCATTGAAAATGAGTCTTTATCTTCTTTAGTCTCTCAATGAGCTGATGGTGCTATATCTGCTCACTCTTTATTACCGTAGTGGCTTTCATTGTCCAGATCGACGGCATCTTGGGGTCTCGTCTATCAGGACAGTGTCCAGAAATGAATACTAACAGAAAAGAAGAAAGTATAAGTGTTACCAATTACGAGAGATCGGTGAGGACTGCCAATTGTGGAGATGCAGAGGGGCCCTGAGAGTGAAGAAGAGTCCGAAGGGAGGAAAGAGAGGCCGATGGAGTCATGGCCAAAACGTACAAAACGTACCTTGCCGATTCGCGGACAGTACGGGGACAAATAGGAGAAGAAGGAGCAGACAGCGTGCGAAATGCAAGCGAATCTGGATGCCAAGGAAAATCCACTTAGTGAACTTGGGGGAGACTTTCGAATTTTGAATGGGTAAAATGGGGACCATGATGAATGACCGATCGCAGCAGCAAAAACATGGAGGGTCCCAGATCCCCAGCGATCGCACCGGCGCCCTGGATCGAACCAAAGAACGGGACCCACGCGCCAGCATGAACAATTGGAACAGCACCAACCAGCCAGCGGACAGTGCGGATGGAAAAGAAAACCACGTTCTCTACCAGTGCTCTAGGGGGTTAGTCACTTCCGTCTGCTGCCCTGTCCCTTTCGGTTCCTTTGTCCCGCCACCGGTTGTCAAATGCGCACTGCGCACCACCACCACTGGACCTACCTACGACACCCGCTTGACACCTTGACCACCGACATCTATCCGCCCAGCCCGAGGTAGGTGGGCAGGCAGGTAGGTATGTAGGTACTCAACACCACCCCTCTCAGCGGAACCGCAATAACGGGACCCATTCTCATGTGTGTTTGGAGCGCTTGCTGATGTCGTTGCGCTAGATACATATGTGGTGCCTTGGTGCTGGGCCCGGTGTTATGGTGTTATACATTCCATCTGCCCCCTTGTAGGCGTTAAAGCTGAACCCCAAGCAGTGGGCTCAAGCAGGCCGGCCGCTGTTGCTACTATCTACCTGCTCCCTTTGCGCCAACCAGCCGCGAGGTGACCCGTGTGCTTCACGCTTGTATGTCTGGCAGCCAGAGACCGGATCCAACAGCAACCGAGTTCTCACCGGGTATCTCTACAGTCAGTCTACTGTATGGTGATAGAGCGGGCGGGGGATCGTAGGGGTCTCCAGGAGCGAAGGGTCCGGTAGGTACTGTACCTCTAGGCGGAGGCGCATGGGGGCATGAAGTGGTGGAAGGACAAAGAAGGGGGGCGCGCCCCAGCCTGGGACTGGAGATGACCATGAACAACAACAGGGCGGCCTGGTCTCATGCAACTGACTGTAGGGACGTCACATGGATGTGGTCGACAAAATGGACAACCCTCTCGGAAAGTCTCAGACTCCTCATCGTGATGGGAATGAGGGGAAATGGAACTTGACAGATTGGGATAATTACCAGCAGGACATGGGAGGCCATGGGAGGCCGGGAAGCAAGCAAGCTGGCATCACAGGTCTGGCGTGGAATGATGCTTGGTTGCGTCGGTGTGCGCGGAAGGGGGAGAAGTCACAACACGAAACTATCGCAACTTCCCCTTTCGGGATGTGCTCGGGCTGCGTCTGTCCCGGATGCTTGTCGCCCATCATGCCGCCTTGTCCTTTTTCTGCGAATCCCACTCGTTTCTCATCCGTCTGCAACCGCAAACGGGATGGCCTTGATGTGCCAACTTTCCAGTGCGAGACTTTGCCCATCCGGTCGCTTAATTTCCAATCAGTTCCATGCTAACCGGTGACTGCACGACCGCGGAGCAGTTTGAAATCTCGATGTGATACGGCGCACAGTTCCAGCGCTTGGTTACACCGGATAAGCAGCGGTAAACCGGGTATTTGGGGGAAAAGGTTGCCTGTGCTAAGTCAGCGTTGGATGTTGAATGTGTGTGTATAGTATACTCCGAGGTTGAAGACGGTGTGTGTTTGATGGCACTGCATCGCTGACCAGGTGAGCGAGTGTGATGATGATCGTCCAACGTCGACGGGGACGCAAAAGCGCCAAGAGCGGAGATGCCCATGGGCTTCGACAGCCAATATCCACCTTGCTCACGTTCTCATTTCCCTTTTCCACCTCATGATGAGCGCTCATGCTGAAGCGAGCATCTCATATGCGTCTTGTCTCGGTCATCAGCCTTCGCTACCACTAAATAGACTTGTCATGATCCGCCCGCCCGGTTCTTGGGCGGTGATCTGTAATCTGTAGGACCGGCGACTCGCTCGGCGAGTAACAGCAAGTCAGCAGCCAGGATCGAGGATTCACAACAATTTCTCATTCTCCCTTAATGCCCGAGCCATGCGTGCATGTGTGAAATGGCACTTGTAAGCTGTCCCGACGCAAGAAGGGTCTGGCTTGTTTGAGAGACAGAAAGAGAACTCTGCCACTCATGGCCACTCATGGCTGAAAATAAAAAAGGTTGAGGCTGAAGCTATGTTGCGGGAAGCCCCTTGTGCCTGATGTCACACATTGTGATGTCAGCTGGAGATCGGGACGAGTTCCGTCGTCGTCGAGATCTGCCACACAAAAAATACCCTACAATGCTGGTCAAGTACCGGGGTGCAATGACAGGCCTGGCCCTTGCATTTTGGGGGAAGTGATGGCTTGGATGACTGAATTATTTTGTGTACAGCAAAGTGCGGTCAAAGGGTCTATCGCGCTAGCGGTCTTGGCTCCCAAGTGTTCCCAACCGGATATAGTAAGTGGCTCGAGCTTCTTCTCCATCGGCCTCCACTCTTTGCTCCCACTTCGACCGGAGTGGTTAGATGATATGACCCTATACCCAAAGCTTCCTAACCTTATATTCCGTGCATTTACATATAAAATTAGTCTAACTTACAAAAGAAAAAGATTAATACAATTATTATAATACGTATTCGTACGGAATCAATTCAATATATTAAATTAATAATAGTAATTCGAATAAAGTCCGATAATATATTTATAATATATCTAGAATATATCTTAAGCTATAAATAAGAAAATTAGGCTTTGTAGGCTCATTCAGGTTATATATATAAAAGTCCCCCCGTGGAAAAATAATCTTATTCGTTCGTTTAAAGTTCCCCTACAGAGAAATATAAAGTCTAATAATATATTTTTAATATATTTGGAATATATTTTAAATTATGAATAAGGAAGGAATAAATTCCGTAGGTTTATCCAAATAGCAGCGGAATTTGCACCAAATAGCGTAATTCCGGCCTTTACCGCCTTATTTAGGACGGTAAAGAAGAAGACTTATAATAAATCGATATTTAGTAAAGGATTTATTAAAAATATATTTAAAGTGAAATTTATAAATATATTTAAATTCTTTATATATTACATAAATAAATTTAATAGAAGAATTAATATTATTACGCTTTTTATATATATTCTTTATTAATTAGGTATTAATTTAAATATTAATTAAATTAATTAAAGATAGCTAAAAACATATTAGGAATAAATCAACGAATTATTAAAAATAGATCTAAAATATTTAGATTATTATTCTTTTAGAAGAGGACTTTTATAAGACCGTCTTCCTCCATATCCGCCTCCTCTTTATTCCTTTTTTCCTATATATTTTATTACTCCTCCTCTTATACTTCCTACCATTCCTCTTCTTATACATCTTCCTACTCCTCCTCCTACTCCTCCTTTTACTCTTCCTCCTATACCTCCTATTATTCCTCCTCTTCAATTAATAATGAGTCCGATAAGTCCGATTCTTTATTAATAACTATTACTTTACATTTTTTAGAAATAACCGGCTATAAAGTCCTATTAGGAATAAGGACGGTTATAGCCTAACTAGAAGTTATAAAGGTTATAAAATCCTTATACTATCCTAAATTT